TCCCTGCTTAAGGATTTCACCGATCTCATACACACTGCATTTGATAGAAACCTATTTACGTGTGCCCCTTTTCTAGATGTTGCTAAAGCGTTTGATACGGTCAGCCATGAGTTGCTTCTTCAGAAACTTTATAACTTTGGCTTCCGCGGTCCATTTTTTGGTTTACTGGAAAACTTCTTTTTTCATCGCACTCAAATTGTAAGCGTTTGAAATTTTAAAAGTTCGCGCGTAATCATAAAAGCGGGAGTTCCCCAGAGATCTGTTCTGGCACCCCTACTTTTTTAATTTGTATGTGAACGACATCTCAATCAGAGTTTCCAACTGCAGAATATTTCAGTATGCAGACGATACTGTCGTCATCTCTCGTCATCTGAATGATGACGAAGCATTACGCGACGCAGTTAATGGACTGGTTCGAGGAAAATCTAATTAGAATTAACATGTCCAAGACACAATTTGTCAGCTGTAGAAATCCACTAAAGAAATTGAATCATCGCTCGTCGGTTGTCCTACAAAAATCAAACTGCCGTAACTGTAAATGTCTTCATTTGGAGTGTGTTGATAATGTGAAGTATTTGTGCATACGTTTCGACTCACATATGTCCTGGAACACGCAGCTCTCACACATAAGTAACAAACTTCAAAGTGTTAGTTGTTAACTCTTCAATCAAAAGTTGTTTATTCTATTTACTGTCAGAAAGTCAATCGCGGTTGCTTTAGGATACAGCATACTTATGTACGGCATCACATTGTTCCCTAATTGTCCATGAACTATGGCAAGATAAGATGAATCGTATTCTAAAAGGTTTATTGAAAAGCGTTGGATACCAAATGAATTTCACATCTGACATAGAAGTCTTTGAAACTCTACAACTACCAACTTTTCATTCTCTATTTCTTCAATGCGTTGTGCTTCGCCACTTCTGAAACGATGACTTTAAGCGTCCCTTATTTCTCAAAGGACTTTTCGCCACGCTGCTCGTTTTGAAACCCCTCGATTCTTCACGCGTTACGGTAAGAGAGTTCGCTCATGTTACGTTCCTCTCGTTTTCAAGAAGCTTCTAGAGCGTATTCTCAAGTCTACAACGAGAAGAAATTTGAAGAAAATGTTAAATAATTTCAATTAACATTGCATTAATTATAATATTTCTCAACGTGATCGACACGTTTTATTTTTTTCGACAAATCATTTTACGGAAATGCGATTGTTCTTTTTCAATAATATTTATACGCTCTACGACATTTCTTCCGGTCAACTTCAGCCTATTTTTGTGTGTGTGTGTGTGTGCGTGTGTGTATGTGTGTGTGTGCGTGCGCGCGCGCGCGCGCGCGTGTGTGTGTGTGTGTGTGTGCGTGTGCGTGCGTGTGTGTGTGTGTGTGTTTCTGGGTGTTTTCCGGCTCTTCTTTAAGCTGCAATCACTGCCCAGGCAACGACTTGAAACTGTTTTACTGCGAATTAATGGTACAACAATAATGGAATTTGTGTGTTATGTGTGTGTAGGTACCCATGTGGGCAAGCAATAGTATGTTGCAAGCAAGCGACATTGTAAACATTTTAATAGACAACTTAATTGGCATACTGGGTCTAGGTGCATAAGCCCATGCAGGCTTTGTCCAGTCCCGCAAATTAAATTTCCTAAACCTACACCCCGTCACCAATAAAAAATTAATATTATTATCATTATTTTTTTTTAGAAATGAGGCGAAGCGTCCAATCAGTTTTAGGAAAAAAAAAAAGGAAAGCCATTGGATAACCTCAGATATTATTAAAGGAATCGAATACAAAGACCTGTTGTGGAGACGATTCAAGCGTGCCCCGAACAAGAGCACGCTCCACCTCGAATTGAAGATGGAAAGAAATAAAGTATGTGCGCTGATACGCGCTTCAAAACGGCGCTACTTTAGAGGACAGTTTGACAAAGCCGCAAATAACCCCAAACAGACGTGGTCCATCGTCAACCAACTGCGTGGGAAAACTACACATCCAGGGTCTCCCTTGCAGTACTTTAAAGACGATTCCCAGCTAGTTGCAAATTCATTCAACAATTATTTTGCAAGCACATCACGAGTAACATCTGAGGCTTCTCTCTGCGTTTGCAGCCTAAATAATTCAATTTGTGTATCAGCACTTTTACCAACCATCACCGATGTTGACCTTCATTCTCTGGTGTTTAGCTTCAAAGAAACGAAACGAAACGGAATTGATGGCATATCGATCAGAATTCTACGACGAAATTTTGCGGCTTTAACCACTGTTCTTTTATTCATGCTAAACGATTTCATAGCGACCGGTGTAATTCCAAGAACCTTAAAAACAGCACTTGTTAAACCTTTTTTCAAAAAGGGTCAAAAAGACAAATATGAAAACCGTCGGCCAATCTCCATATTGTCTGTCATAGGTCAGCTTCTGGAAAAGCACTTGCTAATAACTATGTCAGGATTCCTCAACAAGTTCTCAGTAATTTCACCGAGACCATTCGGTTTTGTACAAAGCCTTGGAACTAATTCACTATCAGAAGAATTTTCCGACCTCCTCCATTCTGCTTTTGACAAGAATCTATACAGTTGCGCCCTATTTTTAGATATTTCTAAAGCTTTTGATTCGGTCGACCACAGAATGTTGCTTCAGAAATTGCACAAGCTGGGATTTCGTGTCAACTTTCACAAACTTCTTACAAATTATCTCTCTAATCGCTCCCACGTTGTTGCTCTGGGAGGTCTAAACATGAGCACACAAGTGTTTCTGACGTGTGGCGTTCCACAAGGATCCATAATCTCCCCCTTATTGTTTAATATTTATGTGAATGATCTTGCAGAAAACATCTTAAATTGTCCTATATTTCAATATGCGGATGATACAGTTTTAGTTGCGTGTCACACCAACTACACACCAGCCATACAAATACTACAACAAGCTGTTTTCACTGCTATGAGCTGGTTTCGTGACAACCGTATCAAAGTTAACGCATCAAAAACTAGTTCAGTATGCTTTAGAAATCCTTTAAAACAAACTGTGACAAGCATTCCTTTGTTCATTCATACCTCTGACTCTGCTTCTTCTTCCTGTACGGCGGTTTCTTATGTCAATTCAGTTAAATACCTGGAGGTTGATTTTGACAGCGACCTTGCTTGGAAAACTTACCTGTCCTATATTTGTAGCAAACTCAGAAGTACTGTCTGGCTTTTGTACACCATTAGACATCTTGCCCTAATCAGTGTGCGCAGAGCTATTGCCAGAAGTCTTGCATACGGCGTTTTAAGATATAGAATTACTATTCTCGTCAATTGCCCCATAAGATGGTTACTGAAGAGCGTGGCGTGTAACTGTGATTTGACAGAATGCGGAAGAATCTTTGAGTATCTTGGTTTACCTTCCCTCCAAAAGTTGTTCGTGAATTCAGTAATTTTGCGCCACTTTTTGATGGATGATTAAAAACAAAACAAAACAAAAAAAACATTCATCTCCTTTCGAGTTCTAAGAGGTAGTCCTCGCTATGTTGTACCTCGTTCTTATACTCCCTACGGACAAGTTACTCGTGATATTTATGTCCCGAAAATATTTAATTTGCTTCCTGATGACATTTTTACGCTTACTTCAAAAAAACAACTAAAAAAATTCCTTATTCATTGGACTCTACCTTAAGTACTCGTTAATGTTTCCTTACCTTTTTTTGACAACCTTGTCAGAACCCTTTTATTTTACCTGTATATATCTCTAGAGTGTTTCTACCGGTCCACCGTGTTTGACTATCTCTGTCCGTGGCATGTATATATCTTTATGTATACTTTGTGTGTATCTCTATATGTACCTGTACACATGTCTCTAATTTTTCTACGGTCCACTGTGATTTACTCTCTCTATCCGTGCCATGTAAAAAGTGACTGACTGCCGCCACCTCCCCTCCGCCCCCCCCCCCCCCCCCCCCTCCACCACCCCGGATAACTATGATTGTTTATCGGTGTTAGTTTGTTAACTAGATGTGGGCCATGTCCCACAAGCCTACTTTGGCTTTGATGGGCCCGAAAATATCGAAAACAAACATGGAAGCGGAATAAATATTATTATTATTATTATTAATGTGTGTATGTGCCACATATGTATGTTTTATTTTAGTAAGTGTTTGAATATGTCGGTGTGCCAGCACCAAGACCTTATGGTTGTTCCTGGGCACCAAATAGAATAATGATTTATTATTATTATTATTATTATTATTATTATTATTATTATTATTATTATTATCATTGCAGCTCAAGGATACACGAAAACAAAAAGATAAATAATTAATATTTTTGTTTTGTTATGTGCCGCGCTAGGATACATCACGGTGATGGATGTATCGAATAGTGAGTGACTCGAAAACGCGAACTGCGAAGAGATACTGAGAATACAATGCGTCATGCTCAGTATTCACGCGTAAATTGCAATAATATGTTTTGTGCATGCTTCGCGTGAAGGTAGACGAGTAGGCATATTTTAGAGCGTATCCGTCAAGACAGGAATGAAATGACCTTACGAATATTTCAGTTATTTCGCTTACCACTCTCTACATAAGTCTAATTCCGAAAATGTCATCTCTCTATGCGTTGCTACAACGCGCAACGGATGCGCGTCGAAGAGTATCTCACAATAAAAACAAGTTTTTGTTTATTTATTCTTTTTATTTTATGATACTACATCTCCTAGTGCAGATATTGTAGGGGTGGCAATGATGATTCAATAACACGGGCAATGAATATAAGAAAAGAAGTAATAGTGCCATATAGTATGAAACAGCTTGGGTTAAACATCCTCGTGCATTTTTAGAAAAACTCCTATAGGTTCCACTATACCACTGCTACGTATACGGAAAGAGGCATTTGCACAATACAGTCCGCGAAACACACCGAGAGAACATTTATGAATAATGACGAGAAAGTTCACGTGAAAACGATGCATAATCGGTTATGGTAACAATGCCATTGTTGCAAGCTCAGGAGCACCGCTTCGCCTTTGGTTGCAGCGAGTGTGACAACGGAGAGTGGGAATGTTCCGACGAGGACGGCGACCACGACTCGGCGCCTCCGACGTTCGACGTGGACGGGACTTCGTCAGAACGCTGCCCGCACGACGAGAACGCGGAGTACACGAGCTGTCTGGACGGATGCCCGCGCACCTGCGACAACATCAACGCCGAGACGACCTGCGACACCGTGAGCTGCACACCTGGATGTCGGTAAGGACGACGCTTTGCTGACTCTGAACGTTGCTGTCCAAATAAATCCGACCATCGCCCGAAGTTTGCTAACGAGGTGTGTTGGATATTTCCGCGAACAGCACGAGTCAATAATGTTGTAGAGATTAAATCAAATAACTATCAAACTCACTCGGGAAGTTCTGGAAAAAAGAAACGTCTGCGGTCTTCTCATTTGTGTCCCACAAATGAGAAGTCGCGGGTTCGTGACCCAACAGATGGCAATTTGCGTTTCTTGACTTTTTCCTCTAAAATTGTAACTTTTATGATTGGTTTGCAACGTTAGGTCCATTTATGTATTACCGTATTACCTCTACTGGCATAAGTGTGTTTTAGTCTGATAGGTGAATACACCATTTTCCCCAGTTGCAAGAGCGGATTTGTGCTGGAGAAAGCTACAAACAGTTGCATTTCCGAGAGCCAGTGCGGGTGCAAGCACGGAGGGAAAACCTACCAGGTGGGCACCGAGATACGGAGGGACTGCAACAAATGGTGAGAACGTCATCCCTTACCATCAGGAACCGTATCGTTATCTTAGATAGTGAAGAGGGGAAAGAGAGATGTTGAAAAAGTCGCACGAACGCAGACGTATGTATGCATTTTGATGGCGGGTATTGTCCGCAGTGAATACTTTCACCGTAAAAGTTTCACAAGTGAAAACCGCACCCTAGCTGCGGACACGGGTGTTTTAGCAGTGTGATATAGCTAATTACCTCGAGCTATACCGACCGATAAAAACAGTTTGTGGTTGTTTTCACAACAACTTGGAAATAGGTTGCATGTATACAGTGGCAATGTTGGACGCGAAAGGTACCGTCAAGGTTGCAACCCTACAGAGGCCGCAGATCCCACTCCCGCATGTTCTCTAAAGTCGGTTGTCAAACAGGCTAACAACGACACCTATGAGTTTGTTAGAACAGACTATTGAAAACTAAACCAGCTTCGACTTGGCGAAGGCGGACAGAAAATATATATAGTATTGATATTGATGTAGAATCCGTTTGGAAACAACCACCTAGATTGACCGTACATGCTATTAGTTCGTGAACCAAAAAAAAAAAAAAAGTTGAATATCACAATAAAAAGAGGCTCATCCAATTCTCATGTCACGAGTATTTCTCTCGTGTCCAATTTACTGTGACTAGGGGAAGAAAAAAGAAACGGACTGATCCCAACACAAAATCTCGGAACCTTGTTTTGTATAAAGGCCTGTTCACACATGCAGCGGAGCGCTACAAGCATAGCGCTGACCTCGGGCTAAGCGCGTGCTGACAGGAGTGTTCACCAGCTTTGTATCGCACCGTCAAAACTGTTGCTCATGGCAGACGACGATGAGTAGCTGACGGCACAAGAATAGCGCTACATCAGCGCTTCACTGCATGTAACAACCGGCCTTTGTACTCCCCGACAAAATAAGAACGGCAGGGCATCTCTCTCGGGTGCCCGGACTTCAGCACGCCCTCATGTCCTTCCTTTATGTTTGGCTACCCGTGCACGTATAGGGATTACTCACTGGACACCATATTTGTGGGTACTTTTTAGAGCGCATGCTCAGAACGAGCTCACATCAAGACCGGCAGTCTTGATGGTGCGGAATGCACGTTGCAAAAGAACTGTGGAAGCTCGCCATCAGCACGCGCTCAGCATTTGCGCACACAGCTATGACCGCCAGTGAATACTCCCTATAAGTCTCAGCAGGTACCGAAGCATTATCGATGGCAGGAAGCTCGCGCTCCAAGCGGGGCAACTGAAACACCTCCCTGCCTTTCTCATCGTGTTAGTTACCCCAGTTGGTGTTCTTTTTGCTTCTTCTTTTTTTTTTTTTTTTTTTTTTGTCTGGGAGTTTTAAATATTTGTTATTTATCGGATCACGATAATTTCATCGAGACGTTTTGCTTCCTGCCCTCGCCTTCCTTTTTGGCCATTTCTCGCAATCGCCCGGTTATTATGCACTCTCGCGTGCAGCACGTGCAGCGGAGGTCGCTGGGAGTGCGAAAAGGGCCAGTGTCCTGGAGTGTGCACAGTCTGGGGCGAGTCCCACTTCAGCACTTTCGATGGGCGCATCTTCGACTTCCGCGGAGACTGCGAGTTCATGCTGGCCAAAGGAAGACTGGACAAGGACACCCACTTCGAGGTGTCCTTCCAAGGAGTGCCCTGTGCCACGGGAGACACCATTTGCAAGAGGACCACCAAGATCGTGCTCCGTGAGTTGCAAGCGACAGATGTTCGTGTGGTGCGCTCTTAAGGCCGCGGATCACACTGCTGATACATTATACAAAAGACAGTCTTTAGACACTGCATGAGGCATGAGGCGCCTTTCTTCCTTGTATAGGGGTCTTGTCAGATTGGTCAGTAAAAAGAACTGTCTGGAAAGAAAGCTCAGTCGATGACAAAACTAAAGATATCTTAAGGCTAAAAAAAAAAAATAGCGCTTCGAAGTTTCAGCATGACGTTTCACGACGCCAAATGCTACAACGCAGTCATTACTACAACGCAGTCCTGTCAGCGATTATGAGGCTCGCAACATTTCACCACTTCGGGCGAAAACAATATATCTATTTCGAGTTCATTTCGACGTTGTCAAACTCTGTCACTCCGTTGCACTGTCTCAGGAGGCGAAGAAGTCATGACCCTCGGTGGCGTCAAGCCACTTCCGGCCGTCAGGTTCGGCGCTGGTCACATTGTCCGCGAGACTACGCTTCAGGCGACGGTCTTCACCAACATGGGCCTCGTCATACAGTGGGACAAAGCAACACGTCTCTCGATCATCCTCCAACCAGCTTGGAAGGGAAGGGTGAGTGGCGCCATCGATACTCAACCGAAAATTTCTCGTTTAGGTATTATAAAATTACACAAACACGCGCACTTTAATGGGATATCTTTACACGAGAACCCTGCACTGACCTTGTTTGGTCGTGTTGGTGTTGGTCACCCCCTAGCACGAGGCTATGGGAGAAAGTGTCAGCAACGGAGCGCAGCTGTTGGTTTGACGGCATAGCACACTTGAGCAATGGCGTTGCATCGCGCGGAGTGTGAAGAAGGGGGGAAAGAGGGGGGGGGGGTGGTTAGGGCGTGGGCTAACACTTTCTTCTCCCCCTTCCCTTTCCGCTACGTAGGAGCGTAGGAACTGCGTATTAGCGCTATCACACATTCATTGCACTGGACGGAAAATCTGAGCCAGGCGATTTTCATACGTAGACACGAATGACACAAGCATGTCCGCGGTCCAGGTTAAAGGATGTAAGCAGTTGATGAGCTAACATGTCGCGTGTAGTGCGAACAGCGAACGCTAGGTGATTTTTTTTTAGAGCGCAGCTCTTAGGCGCCCGTTTCCGGCTTGAGCGGCGTCGGCGTCGCCGTCGGCGTAACCGCGCGGTGCATTACGGGTAAATTTCCCCGCTAAATCTAGCGGAAAAATTTCCCCGCTAAATCTAGCGGAAAAATTTCCCCGCTAAATCTAGCCGAAAAATTTCCCCGCTAAATCTAGCGGAAAAATTTCCCCGCTAAATCTAGCGGAATAATTTCCCCGCTAAATCTAGCGGAAAAATTTCCCCGCTGTCTAGCGGAAAGATTTCCCCGCTAAATCTAGCGGAAAGATTTCCCCGCTAAATCTAGCGGAAAAATTTCCCCGCTAAATCTATCGGAAAAACGTCCCCGCTGAATCTAACGGAAAAATTTCCCCGCTAAATCTAGCGGAAACATTTCCCCGCTAAATCTAGAGAGAAAATTTTCCCGCTAAATCTAGCCGAAAAATTTCCCCGCTAAATCTAGCGGAAAAATTTCTCTTGAGGTCAGGTGACCCCCCGAGGTCACGTGACCTGGGGGTGTCACGTGACCTCGGGGGGTCACCTGACCTCAAGAGAAATTTTTCCGCTAGATTTTTCGCGCTTTCCCCCACGTGACCTTGGCGAGGGGGTCATGTGACCCCTCCAAGGTCACGTGACCACCCCTCCCCCCCCCCCCGATAACACGTGAACCTCAGTACCCTTCCCTCCTCCTCCTCAAGAGCTGCGCTCTAATTCGGCGTTACAGGGAGTTGTAAACAGCTTTCATTTTTATTTCTTTCAGTTCTAGGGGCTCGTTCGGCGACTCGAAGGGGATTGACCTCTTGTGACGGTACATAGCAAAGTGCATGTTCCCATGGCTTCCTTGTTTTGGCAGGTGAAAGGACTGTGCGGCAACTTCGACGGCAATCAGATGGACGACTTCGAGACTCCGTCCGGCGGGATGAGCGAGGGCGACGCCCGCGTCTTCGGGGACAGCTGGAAACTTCGAGAGGCGTGCCCGGCCACCAAGGAGCCCGAGGATGTGTGCGAGCAGAAGCCCCACAGAAAGACGTGGGCCGTGCAGAAGTGCGAGGTGCTCAAGTCCCCGCTTTTCGAGCCTTGCCACTCGGAAGTCAGTCTCGAACCCTATTACGAAAGGTAACTCAGAATCTCTTAGCGTTTTGGTTTAAGTTATAGAGTGTGATTATGGTAGCCTTATACTTCAGTCTGTTTATTCAAAACGTGCCTCACAGAAAACCCTAGTGCAGTTGTCGTCGCACAGCTTAAGAAACAAAGAACGTGGCTTGTTCCCCGCAACTTATCATCTCTCTGCAGCTGAATAACAGGCTGAAGTTGAGCTAGTTGGTACATAATTTAGGTAAATGGTCAGCTAGAACGAGATGGGCAAACACAGACAGGGAGAAACAGAGACATGCACACCGCTGACTATCAACTAAGACTTTATATTTCTTCTTCATCACTGTGACCCACAAATTCACACCTAAAGTAATGCCAATGAATGACCCTAAATCCTTACAGTACACTACTAAATCAAAATACTGATTAAATAATATTAAATTAAAATTGAAACTAATTAATTACATTAAATTATTAATTATTACTTTTGGTCCAACCCACAGACCACCGCCGAAACATATCCCTCCTAGTCCCTTTCACGGCGCCGTGCCACACTGCAAAAACTGCCTCTGCAGCTAATGAGATTGTGGAAAGAGCCCATAAGAACAGCGAAAAACAAGCTAGTGACTAAACATGAGTATTGATCATGAGCCAGAATATGTGACGTTCTGAGTGAATACTCTGGAGCATGAGAGAACATCAAGTTATTAGCTAAACGATATTTGAGTCTTACTGCGAGCTCAATGAGACCAAAAGCCGGTTCACACACAAAGTCAGAGCTGAGTCAGCGCCACTGTCAGCGCAGCTGAGTTAGCGCTGCGTTGTGTGAATAGGCTAAAAAAAGGCGCTGTCACATACAGCGGAGCGGAGATCTAGAGCGCTGAATTGATAGTATAAAGACAGTGCTGTGTAAAGTCTCCTGACACTTGTTTTTACAAGTCACGACAACCTCTACAAATGGCAAAGGACACTCCGCTGGAACATATGGCGTCATTCAGTTCAGCCCTCTGGTGTGCGCCGCCATTCGCTTCCTAAACCTGCACCGTCACGAAGTCGGCGCTTCAAAAAGTGTCGCTACTTGTAGGAAGCTCTTATCTAGGAACTTTAGTGATGCACCCAAGGACGTTTGAATGCGGCTTGGGCGCATCTGTGAACGGACCTTCACTCTGTGTTCGCTCGTTTAGCTTTCTGAAACCACATCTCTATTTGCTTCTGTCACCATTGCGACGATCGCCGACGTTCGGCCGTCACACGAGTGCGAGATCTCTCTTTGTTGTTGGTCAGATGCGTGCAGGACGTCTGTGGATGCGACTCCGGCGGAGACTGCGAGTGCTTGTGCACCAACATTGCGGCCTACGCCCACGAGTGCGCGGCCCAAGGCGTCCCTGTCAAGTGGAGGTCGCAAACGCTGTGCCGTGAGTGCCGGAAATTGTCCATACCCCTTCGGATTCTCTGTGCTTCACACGAGGGATTTCAAGGACTGTGACAATAGCGAATATGCCGAAAAATCGCCTCCAATGCTATCATTTCTGACGCGTCTTTATGTGTTTTACGTGGAACTTAGACGCGATGTACAGGTTGTTAATTCCCGAGAGCTATTAGGGCGTAAAAACAAACTCGTGTAAATACACCAATAAACTAAGTGTAATGGAATTTTTCGCACAGGCGTTTTTATGCGGACAATTTATCACACTCAAATTTTATAAGTATAAGCTAAAAGAAAAAATAAAAAATGTTTTTTTTTTCTTTTTTTATATTTGGGGAGGAAAACGGCAAAATCCGTCTGGTTGATGCTGCTACTCACAGATGGCGCAACATAAATCAATCACGTGAAAAGTCTTCTTTGAGATGGATACCCGAAAGCAGATCCAGCAGATCCGAGTGTGCGTGATTTCATCTATGAGTATAGGAGCGTCAACCAGACAATTTTTGCCGTTTTCTTCTCTGCGCATAAAAAAAATAAAAAAATAAAAAAATACAGAACAGAGTATTTTCAAGCTTGAAGTTTTTCTTTTCCTGAAGCTCATAAAATTTGAGTATGATAAATGTACGACCAAAAGACACGGCTGTGAAAAGTTTTAATGCACGCCGTTCGTTGGTTTCTGTATTATATATTTTGTACTACCAAGTAGTGCTCGAGAACACCCCGTGTAAGCTGTAGGGAACGTTTCCCAGAAACAGAAAATTGGTTGGTTAATTCCTGGGTATTCTTTGTTTTTGTCTGTGTTAAAATGAAAGCCGTTTACAACTCCTTGTGACGCCGAGGGCAGCTCTTGAGGACGAGGAAGGAAGGGTACTGAGGGGAGGGTATACCCCTCCTCCCTCCTCCTCGCCTCCTCTTCCTGCGTGCTACTCGTCCCTCCGAGCGGCGTCGATGTAACCGTGAGGTCACGTGACCCTCGTGACGTCGCGCGATCCTCGTGACCTCACGGGGGTCACGTGACGTTACCGGGGCCACGTGGCCTCATGGGGGTCAGGTGATTTCACGGGGGTCACGTGACGTCACCGGAGTTACGTGATTGGCGGGGGTCACGTGACCTCACGGTTACGCCGACGGCGACGTTGCTCGAGCCAGAAACGGGCGCCGAAGAGCTGCGCTCTGAAAAAAGGTATTGTAACATGGTGAATTAAAGTGCAGAAGTACTGGGGTAGCCGGAAGAACTATGCAGACAGTAAAGCGCTACAGCATTAATACATCGACACACTTTTTGGTAAAATGTAAAACAACGATTTTGGACAGGTCGTCATTTGGTAACGCTAGCTGCTCGAGCGTTTTTATGGTAGCGTTAGGATACACGCCTTCACAAAACTTGTTATAGGATGTATCAGTGCAATAAAATGCCTGCTGGCGCACATAAGCTGAAACGTCAAACGGTACACTTGCCGCGAAAGATCTCCGATTTCTCATCCGCGGTCACTGGTGGTTGAAGCTCTTCAGCGACCCTCAGATCGACACGAAATGAATAGTCGTCTATGGGAAAACTCTATTGCAATCTGATTCGTTTCGTCTCTATTCTGTCCGTTGTTCCCGCCTCAAACAGCTATTCAGTGCGACACCGAGTGCTCCGAATACGACGCCTGCATGCCCGGATGTCCCCCCAAGACTTGCGAAACGCTCAGCGTGTCCGGAAGACTGGAGGAACTCTGCGGCAACGGGACCACGTGCCAGGAGGGATGCAGGCCCAAGCCCTGTCCCCCCGGCTACGTGTTCGACAACGAACGAGACATGAACTGCGTGCGCGAAGCGCACTGCAAGGTGCCCTGCAAGGAGATCTACGGGAAGCTCTACCTGGAAGGAGAACGCATCACAGACGAGAGGATTGCCGAGCCTTGCGAATCCTGGTGAGGGCACTCTCACTCGCACCACTCTCAGTTCTCCTTCAGGCTGTCCAGTCACTCTGCTCGTACATCGTACAAAAGATAAGGTGTTCCCTGCAGACATGATGAGAGAATCGTCTGCGTACATTCTTCAATCATGACGCGTGTTCGAATCCCTGTTTGCCTCATATGTTCGTATGCTTCGAGCTTTTTTGCAGATCGTTTTTGTATGACCATTGTGACCGTCACACAAGGGAGAAACATGCCTCAGGCGGAGTTTGCAGATTGTCTTTCGTATGATGGGGGGTATTAGCTGTTTTACCTTATTGCGTATCATAGATTTCCAGGTGGCATTAGAGATTAAAAATTTTTAGGGAACTGTTTTTGCACATCTGATACTGTTCGATGGGCCGTCCGGTACGAACTGCGCATGTAGGAGTCTTCTGCCATAGCGCATGCGCAGTTCGTACTGGAGGGCCCATCGTACCGTATCGGATGTGCAAAAACGTTTCCCTAAAACTCTCTATTATAGTTATGAGTGGCCACCGTACGTTAAATACTTAATGATTATGGTCTGCGAACCACTGGGCCTCCGTCCACATGTATACGTTTTGACTTATTTGTCGGTCGCAACAGCTTCTGCCAGGGCGGCTCCCTCGTGTGCAAGGGCCATCCATGTCCGAACACGGAGACTCCGCCGACCATCGACTGCAGCTCTAGTGGATGGACGCCTTGGCTCAATCCCCCGGCAAAGGCTTCTGGAGACTTCGCACTCTTGGGAGATCCGAAGTTCGCGTCTCTGTACAGTGGCTACTGCGGACCTCGGAGCGTCGTGGACATAGAGTGCCGCGTCACTCCCTCGGGAGTTGCTGCCATGAAGGCGGGACAAAGCGTCACTTGCGAACTGCCCCGGGGACTGGCGTGTTACCACAGGGACCAGGCCGAGGGGACTTGCCTCGATTACGAAGTTCGACTATTGTGCGACTGTGGTGAGTGGATCGGGGGGGTTACCTTTTATAGAAAAGCTAAAGTGGTTCTTGAAAACATTTTTTTTTTTCTCAAATAAATCACCCTTTTAGTTTCCCTTTAAGGCTTTTTTTACTGAATGAACGAGTCGTGTTTTCGAGGCGAGATTCAGTATCAACCCCCGACCATTGCAATCCCTCACTATTGCATTGCAACATTACCATAATCTCCTGATCTTTTGAGCAGTAAAAGTGCTCTTTGAAGTTCAGTCATGATTAAGAGACACCGGTGCACTTGTTTGCGGCAATCAGCTTTCGAGGTGCACGTATTTTACATGCATAAAACAGTTCTGTCCCAGTTCATCAAGAAGCAGAACAACGCAGAGCCAGAGAGCAATTATTCGAGCGCGATCATTTTTAGAGAAATGTTGACGCTGGACGTCGCACATTTCTTTGCCACACATATCTACTCCTCGTGCGCAATTGACGATGGCATTCTTTACGTTCGATGCCGCGGACACATCCTACTTGAAGATTGTTTTGTTTTCCATCAGAATATATGCTGCACACCTAATAACAACATTTTCATTCGACAGTACGCGCAACAATTAAAATGTTCTTCTCGGCTATTGGCATCCAGAATGGCACTCATTAGTTCTCAGGTTATACGGGACGGCATGTTGTGTATTTCGGTGGCCGGGCGGACTTTAATTGTCTGCCCATTATCTAACCCGCACTGCAATGGCTTTAATTTTTACCGTCAATATAGTTTTTAAAGTGCCATGAAATGGCCTTAGTCTCGGGGAAATCTACTATGAAGAACTATAATTTTTTTTTCGGGCGTTTGACGTGGTAATCTATTATGCCATTAAAACTCACGAAAGCTGCAGCTTGATCCAACTGTAGGGGATGCTACTATGTTGTTGTTTTTTTTAATTCGTGTAGTATTTACATTTTTGCTTATCATAATGTTTACACGAACACCGACATTAAAAATCAGATAAATTAAAAAGAGAAACCGTCCAGGTGATCCAAATCTTTATGTTCACACTCGGCAGATTCATCCGACAACGGAATTACGACCACGGCAACAACTACCACGGACCGCTCTAGGATAGGAGGAGGCTCGTCAGAGACAACCACAGCGACCTTCACGCACTACATGAACGACAAGCAAACCACAAGCGTTGACGATGGCGGACGAGGGCAGAGACCGACCGAAGCGCCTTCAGTATTGTGCGTTCCTCACTGGACCGACTTCTACAACACCGATAGCCCGGACATCGGCGACGGAGACGTGGAGGCCCTCGAAGACATCAGAAAGGATTACGCCGTCTGTGATGGCGGCCCGATCGGGGATGTAGAGTGCAAGGCGACTGTGGGCGGAAAGTTTGTGGACTACAGGGAAACGGAAGACGTGGGCGTCAAGTGCTCCAAGGACACCGGTCTGGTCTGTCTCAACTGGCTTCAGTCGAAGGGAAAAGTCTGCCAGGACTACGCAGTGCGCTTCTTCTGCCAGTGCGGTGAGTTCGCTTTTTCCGAGTGACCGCCATTGCTGTGGTTCTTTTGAGCCCACCTTGCGAAAGAAGCTTAATATCAGGTGTTGTATACACCTCAGACGATAGGTTACTCTGCCAACCATAGAGTTATTATAATGTACGCTAGAGGTTCAACTGGCGCTAGTGTCTATGCGACTTCCGTGACGCAAATTGAAGCAGACAGCAACCAGTCTACTTTTGCGCTGCTCCTGTGCATTCCTATGGGAAAATGCGCGTGCATTCTGTTTCTTTGCCGGAAAATAACACGGAACACTTTGGTTATTTGGATCGTACCGAATAGTATACACCTTGATTAACACTGTAAAAGTGTAATTGCTTTAGTTAGCGCATTTTTCTTCATCAGTGAACGATGTTTAACTTCGCTACATTTCAGTCCAAAACGTGTGTTCCGCAGCAGGTGTGTGAAAACAAACGACGATTCAAAGCAAAATTACAATCGAAAGGAATATAGAGTGTGTTCAAGGCTCGCCAGCATTCGGGTGACGCTTTTATATAGTGATAATATGCCAGTCCTGTCACTATATGAAAATGACCCCGTCGTGCATGAGCGGATAAAAACATTCAAACCGTAGAGAATAAAGTCCGTAGGTTATGAAAGATGTCTCTTCGTATTGTTTTTTGTGCCGGGCAGCTTTTATCGGGCACTTGGGCTCAAAGATTTCGAGCATGCGGGTGATATTTTGAACGTAGAACGAATATCATCTTCGCTCAGAGCAGAAAGAATAAAGCGGTACTTACTTATTTAAAATCGGAATAGATTACGTGGCCTTCAATTTATTTTGATCGTACATGCACAGGTATTTACTGATCCAGTGTTACTGCGTAGTTCTTGCCGTCTCCCTGAATTTCCAGATGTTTTTTCGTTCGTTTGTCACGTGTATCCCTCATGCTGAAAAGCGCCGACGTCGTGTTCGCGCTAACAGTGTCCGACGGTGCACATAAATACACGTACGAAGCCGTTTTAGCACCGTTTTTAATGCGATAAATTTGAAAGAAAAACGCCGTAACTGACCAATTTTTTCGTCGGCCTGACTGAGAAATGTTCTAAGCTACCTAGTACGTTCGAATTATTTGCGATATTTGCTCTTATGATCGAGCGCAGGGAGAAAATGCACTCACTTTTTCCCATAGGAATGCATTACCGGAAGCCAATTTTGGACTGGTTGCTGTCTGCTTCAATTTGCGTCAGCACACTAGCGCCACTTGAACCTCTAGCGTACATTATAATAACTCTATGCTGCCAATATCTTGTGATATTGACTGAGTATGAAGGATTCTATGCATATTCTTTAAGGTTCACCAAAGTGTTTTTAGATCATCGTTTTATGATAATAACTCAGTCTACACGCTCTAAGCATACAAAAAAAAAATAATAAATTACATTCATGCACGGCCGATTTGCATAATAAAAAAAAAAGCGATCAAAGATAGCGACACTTACCGTTGTCGCAGAATGACAGATGGCGCTACCGAACTTTGGTGAATATGGTCCAACGACGGACGGCGCTTGTCGGCCACTCGCGAGCGATGGGTTCCCGCGTGGACAAGCGGCCGACCAATCCCGCTCGTCCACGCGGGAGCCCATCACTCGCGAGTGGCTGACAAGCGCCGTCCGTCGTTCGAGCATATTCACCAAAGTTCGGTAGTGCCGTCTGCCATTCCGCGACAACGGTGAGTGTCGCTATCTTTGATGGCTTTTTTATTATATATTTGGCCACGCCTGAATGTAATTTCGTGTTTTTCAGAATGCTTAGATCTCGTAGACTGTGTTGTGACAATAAAACGATGGTCTAAAAAAAAAAACGCATCTCCACGTGGTGAATGATGTTGATTGGGGCGAAGCTCTGGTGGTGCTTGTCTGCGTAGACGCTGAGCCGCAGCATGCCGAGCCTTTCGTTCGTTTTCATCCATGTCAGAAAGAGAATGTGTGGTATGGAACGTGGTTATATGCGCATTTGGCCACAGCGCCCTCTCGTCTATAAACGTTGAGTCAATGCATGCAAAGTTTAACGCGATTATATACGCATTTGACCGCAGCGCCATCTCCTGTATAGACGTTGAGCGGCTGCATGCAACGTTTCATCCCTGACATCCCCAGCTCTTGAGTTACCACCACATCTCAGAGCCCCCTACTCGTCCCGCAGTCGTGGCCGAGTGGTTAAGGCGATGGACTAGAAATCCACAGGTTCGATCCTGTCGACTGCGCAAACATTTCTTCTTTTTTTCCATCATTTTCTTTTCGCCCTCCACGACCACGTGAGCACGTGAGCTCACGAGCACGATCACGAGCACCAGCAAGATTGATGTGAGCACGGACGCCGGACAGACAAGGCTAGACCCCCTAAGGAGCTTCGCCCCTAAAACACTTCGGTGCCCCTCTAAGGGCACCAAGGACACGCAGACATCTATAGAAACGCAAGCATCTGAATTTGCAATCGTTCGTCATCGTTTTGTTTCCTACTTTGCACTCAGCTATTCATATTCCAAGTTTGTTCAAACATTCGTAAAGGAGGATGCCTCGATGTACAGGGTGTCACAAAAGAAAATTTACACGGTCTTTTTCACCGCAAAAATAAACTAGGCATCGCCGAACGCTCATTCTCCGCCCAAAGGTAGAGCTAGAGGTCACAACCAGATGCCAAAGTTTCAGCCCGATCCGATAACTCAATCAAAAGTTATAAGTGATTTTCTGAAAATTTCAATGGGAAAATGGAGCCCATTTTCGCCCGTTTTCGGTTTCTGGTGCCATAGAGCCCCATGTGTTTGAAAACGCCGTCGGCCGCCATTTTTCCATTGAAAATTTCAGAAAATCACTTATAACTTTTGATTAAGTTATCGAATCGGGCTGAAACTTTGGCATCTGATTGTGACCTCTAGCTCTACCTTTGGGGGGAGAATGAGCGTTCGGCGACGCCTAGTTTATTTTTGCGGTAAAAAAGAACGTGTAAATTTTCATTTGTGACACCCTGTACTTACACGTAAGGGCATTGCTACTAGGGGCGAGCTTCCTTGCGCCGCACGCGCCGAGCGAGCAAAGATAGTGGTGATAGCTTGCAGCGCACTAAGAAGCGCACTGTCGAATCTTGGGGAGCGCCGAGCGAAGGGCGTAAACGCATCGGAGTAGGCCACGCACCCTCGTCCCGAGGCTCACTTCCAGGCATGGCAGCCTGTACCACGAGCCACGCGCTCCTCTGTTCGCATTTCATTTTTTCCCGAGAGTACAACTCAGATTAAGCGGCCTGGCCACCGATCTCTAATACAGAATTACTTCGCGAAAACGTATAGGGAGTATTCACTGGGCGGCCATATCCGTGTGCGCTGCTGCTGAGCGCGTGCTGACGGCGAGCTTCCGCAGTCCTTTTGGAGCGTGCATTTAGCACCGTCAAGGTTGCCGGTCTTAGCAGGCTATTAATGTGAGCTTGTTCTGAGTATGCGCTGTAAACATCGCCCTCAAATGTGGCGTCCAGTGAATACCTCCTATGGCCTTCTGCGTTCTGCTTCTGCAGTGCTCTTATTTCGTGTTGAACACAGAGAAACAAACGTTAGGTTATGCTGAAGTTTTTTTTTTATGTTTGTTTTTAGGAAATACCCAGCAAGGGATGACAACGGAAGCAATAGGTGAGTGTTCAACATTTTAGTAAATTTTAATTTCAAAGGTACGCCCCATGAATGTTTAAACAGAGGGGTGTTGGGTTACTCAGAAACAGCGATACATCTCTGCTGCAGAGGACAAATTTGGCCAGGGCCGTGCCACTACAAACCTGACGTGTCTGTGGCTCACCACGCAATAACTGCTAGGTAAACAGGAGAACGCCAGTGTGACTGTCATTTATATTAAAAAAATGAGGGGTGGCACTAAGACTCATAATTAATTATTCCCTGTCTACAGGGCAATATTTCACTCCAAATGTTTCAGAGCTGCCGCTTGTCAAACCACGATCACTGGATGGCAGCACGTTTGCTGCGATGATCTAGCAACCGTGGTTAAACAAAGCCGCCAAACTCACGAAAATTGCAAAACCATATAAATATTTTGAACAATGCACAAGAAACCATGATGAATTATACCTGAGCTTGTGGTCAGAAAAGTAAAACATAAAAATAGTTGAGACAGAAAGATGAACGAGGCTGCATCTTGACTAAGACTGTTTGATGTTTGCCTTTTTCTACCACAGTTTCAGGTGTAATTCATTATGCTTAACCTTTATCAGCTCGCCCTGCACGCTTACTAATGTTTTTCCCGCCAATGCACAAAACTCTAGACATGGCTGCTACAGAATTGTCATGTTGTATCTTGCCCATGTGAGACGTAAAACAAGCTTGTGGATCATTCTTTAATGTTGGCAGTTCACGGAAAGCTGCCCATGTCTGACAGAGGTTTGACTGCATTCAGTTTAAAGCCTACGTATAATTTAAGTAATTCAAAAGATAAAAAAAATTAAAACCTACAAAAAGAAAAGCAAACAAAGGTAGATCCGATTTGCTTCGGTTTTGTTTAGTTTGATTGAGATGTAAAGCAAGGAAACAACACAGCTACAAACGTCCTATTTCACACGTGAGCAGCTTTTAATTGGAAAGCATTAACTGGTCTCATGGAGCAAGCCGCGCCAAACGGCACCTTAAATCCTCTCTCCAAATGAAGCCAGCTCCCAGCTATGAAACCAGGCGAAAAGTTAGCCAACGGCACCTAAATTCCCCGACCCCAAAGGAGTGGGCTAAAACTGATGGATTTTCGGCTTCGGTCCCATTGGCCGGCGCGCGTCGACGAGGCACCCATTGGCCGCTGCGCGTCAGTTTCCAAGACCGCTCACCCCATGGCGCTGCGTGTCCGTCAGCGCGCCGCTCGTCCAAGGTTAGTGCGGCCAGGAGAGCGCACGCGCCGACCGGTGACGAAAAGTACGCAGCAGACGAAACAAGGGAGCGGACGAGCGGCGTGCATGGTTTCGCATTCACAACTCATAAGAAGTGCTTAGGTGTACCTCGAGCCTTTTATTTCTTTGGTTGTTTTATTAACCTCTAGTCGGCACAGGCTTTATTTTGCATCAAACGCTAAGTGCTCGGCAGGCTGAAAGCTATATATTGGGTCTCAAGCAATAGGCTCCAAATTACGCGCACTGAAATTCTTCTAACTGGCCGACGAAGCTTATCGTTCCAGATTTTGTGTTCCTCAGACTCTCATATTATAATTTATATTTTAATTTTATCAGTGCCGAACAAACTTTTAAATACACCCCCCCCCCCCCTCCTTCCCCGGCAACATCATGCTGCAACCACGCCGAAGGAATCGCAGTTCACCCAGACTCTACATTTCCCGAACTACACTGGCCCTTTCATTCGAACAACTCGCCTTTGTTTTATTTTGCTGTTGACCAGAGTGTCATCTTAAAACCACTTGGCTTTTAAGTTAGCTGTTTATACACGACCTGAGTTCAACACTACGCAGCTGTTTCAGTCCAAACTCAACGTTAATATATGTTTTCCTGGCCTTGCTTACGATTTAGTTCCTTCTCGGGAACCGGGCGATGGGACTGAGACCGGTACGAGCGGCGGTGCTGCCTGCATTCCCGGATGGTCTCCGTTCTTCGACTTCGACAACCCCAGCAGCGGAGAGGGGGACATCGAGTCTCCAGACGACTACGCGGAAAAGTACGGCATCACGTTCACAACTTTGTATGCGTTTAATTCTGCACTGACAAGACGTAATCTCCGTTTGAGTAGATATACCACCTTCGTACGAGTTCGCAAGGCAGCGAAACATCCTTGAATGTAATATATTAAAAGCGGCGTTGTACGAAACGGCGGATCGCGTTCCTTGTAGGAGAAACGAAGGAACGTCACCGTTCCATCTGCGTCGTTGGAACATGAACGGAAACTCGTCGTGACGTCAAAAGGAGCGGCGTTCCCTTTTTTTTTATCTGCAATTTTATCCGAATTTAGTAGGTACTTAAGCTTCTTGTTATCGACTATTCTAACCTGCGACTCTAAGGGGTAGGAAAATGTCCAAGAGATAGTCGAGATTAAAAAAAGAACTGGAACAGATGTGATCATGGTGACTTGATAGTTCGATGCGGATATTTTCACTTGCTCGCTATATTTTATCTACGTATTATCCAGTACGATGTAACGACCCGTTGCAATCTTAGAAACGTATCGGAAACGCGTTCCTTTCGAACCTTTCCCACCTGTACCAGGAACTCGTTCAAAGATTGAAAAGGAACGAGGAACAAGCTTTCGTTCCTGTTCTAGAAGAACTTGTGCACTACTGATTGAAAGGACTTTTCGCGTTGTATAGACGTTGGCAAGTACGGCCGCTGGGCGTCACCATCTTGCTGCCCGTATGGGTAGATCGTATGATGGTCAAGCGTTACTGAGCCGTATCTACAGTTTCTAGACTGGCGCCCAAACCAGTGATGCTCTATACTACGTCCGAGAATTCCATTTTTTTTTTTCAGTACAAAAATTTTCTACTTGAGGTACTTTTTCCCTGGAAATTTTTAAAAATACCCGGCATATTTCTCTACATTTTTTACATTTATTTTGCAGCAGCTGATTTCTGTGGTCATGCAGGCCACTTTTTGCGCATTTTACCACAACATCCAAGTGAAACCGCACGTTTATAGATAAGAAAATGTTACTGTTCAGTTTATATTTTTATTAACCGAACCTTTAGACGCGGCCGCTTCGCTGCATCTAGGCATCGTTCGGACTCCTCTCCTTCACTCCGCGAGTTTCTCACTATCTCTTCTTAAAACGTTTGGACCACAAAACGTTTTTTAAAAATATTTATTTAGTTCTTCCTAAAGCTTTTCCCGAATTCCCCTCGTTAATCCGTAAAATTCCCTGCAATCGTGTTGAAATTCCCATTTATATTTCAACCGAAATTGAGTCCGGAAATTTCCTGAAGAGGAAAAAATTCCCTCCGTGAAACGTCACTGGGCCAAACAAAGCGTTTTTCATCCACGGTGGCCAGACTAGCTCTCGAAAACATGGCTGCTCGCAAACATCTATAGATATCGATTTTCTTGCCGCGATCCAGTTTTGTTTAAGTTTCTTGTTCTGTATATTCTAGTGCCATAATTATTTGCTTCAATTGTAGATGTCAAGAACGTGCCAACAGGGGTCTAAGGCGTTGTAGGCACCTTCGCTTTTTGCCTGTCATACCGTACCGCAGACGGAAATAAAGAAAAAAAAAGTGTTCTGTAGAAAAATAAACATCCTCAGCACGTGACATCTCTTGAACATCCGCCTCTGTCTGACAAAACATAAAAAAACACCAAAACAATTTGTGCCACATTGTGGGGTTTGTTTTTCCGTGAAAACGTTGGGGGGGGGGGGGGGGGGGGGGGGGTTCGGTATTGACATTCGTTCGCTGTATCGATCCCCTAATCGCATTCATTTTCTCCCTGCGTGTTCCGCCTTGAAGTGGCAGCGATGGTAACTTGGATTCCTTGGTAACTGACCCTGTGAAAAGCAACACACTATTTCAAATAGAAAAACGCATATAACATGTCACAATGTTGAGGCTATTCAGTTTAAGATAATGTACGCATAATTGCGGGTTTTATCCCTGTTTAGCGGCGATTTAAGTGTCCAGACCGAAGGCCTTTAGTTTAGGGAATCGGCTAACCAGCGCCAACGAAAGTCCTTCGTCATGAATTAATTCATGTATTCATTTGTTTATTTTACGTAGTCATGAACAGCTGATGTTTTGGTAATGATGCGCAAACAATGAGGTTACAAATGAGCCAGGAGCAACTTAAAGGCTAGATCATTTCAAGACGTCAGTATTCGTCTATATTCGCTGCACCACGCTCGCACTCTCATACAAGCGTGTATGCGAGTCATGAGGGTAACTGAGATTATCAGACGAATAAAAATATTAGAAATTTTATAAAGGCTTTTTAATTGTCCGCGAAGCAGGGGTACAGATATATATATAGTTTCCTAAAATTAAATTAAGCGGAGCTAGACGTAACTTAATACCGAATTTTTGAGTGTTAAAACTCAACAAAACATGGATGGCTATGTCTGCTCGCTCCTATGGCACGTTTTCTTTAAAATCAGTCACCCGCTGAAAGAGGAAACAAACGCCTGTTTTTTGCTAAACCCGTGCAAACGCTACGTGTCTCTTTTTTCTCTCTGTAGATCTTGTAGCACGGACAACGTCAAAAAGATCGAATGTAAAGTCATAAATGACGAAGCGGGAACGGTGATTGACTGGACGCAAACGGGCGACAGTTACGTCACCTGTTCCAAGGAACAAGGACTGGAATGCTTGAACGACTACCAGGAACCTGGCAAGAACTGTCACAACTACAAGATTCGCGTCTTCTGTGACTGCCGTAAGTCTGGTCTGATGCTTTCTAGTAAGGTATTTGCAAGTAATATGCATCGTCCCCTCGCCCTCCTCTAAACAGACTCAATTTTGCCGGGTTGTTCAACCACTGACGTGGACAGTCGATGAGAAGGGAAGATTATCATGGTGGTGGAGTGGGTCGACAAGAGCCCGGCAGGTTCGTCGTTAGTCCAGGGACTAATGAGGGACCTGCCGGGTTTCGAAGCGTTTTTGGAGACTCTGGTCACCACAGAACATCCCTAATAAACTAAGAGCAATATGTTTTTTTTTTAGAGCGCAGCTCTTAGGCGTCCGTTCCCGACTTGAGCGGCGTCGCCGTCGCCGTCGGCGTCGGCGTAACCGCGAGTAACCCTCGTAACCTTCGTGAGGGTTACGAGGGTTACAAGGTTACTCTCACGAGGGTTACCCTCGTAACCCTCGTAACCCTCACGAGGGTTACGAGGCTTAGTTACCCTCAAAAGGGTTACCCTCACGAGGGTCACGAGAGTTATGAGAGTTACCCTCACGAGGGTTATGAGAGTTACCCTCACGAGGGTCACGAGAGTTACCCTCACGAGGGTTACTAGGGTTACCCTCACGAGGGTCACGAGAGTTACCCTCACGAGGGTCACGAGAGTTACCCTCACGAGGCTTACTAGGGTTACCCTCACGAGAGTCACGATGGTTACCCAGGTCACGTGACCCCCCTCCCAAGGTCACGTGACCCCCGTTGACGTCATCGCCACTGATGTCATCATCACTGATGACGTCATTAGTAACGTCACCGGCATCCGCATCGTCATCATCATCATCACTGATGACGTCACCAGTGACGTCATCAGTGACGCCACTGATGACGTTATCAGCATTGTCACGTGACCCCCCGCCACCCGAGGTCACTTGACCCAGAGCCTTTTATACTGGGAGAGTTCGGCGGTTCTTTGATCCAGCCGCCAGTCTGGCAGCACTGATCGAACAGTTTGGCAACTGTGCGCATCCGCCATGATGTGCCTTGCCATCTAGCTTGATTGCACCTTTGCATTTAATTGCATTATAATTATAACCTTAAATTGCAAGCTTCACCCTTGTTTGGTGTAAGGCTGGTGGCGGCTGATAAAACCCGTTTGCCCTACTGACTCGAGCCGGCAGTCGGCTCGCTAGAGTCCATGGAGCGAGAGACGACGATGAAAATGATCGTTCTGTGCTGCGCTCTGCCAGACGTTAGATGAAAAAGAAATGGGGGGCTGCAGTGCCGTTGGGTGCTCGAACAACGCGAAAAAGGGGTTCAGGATGTACCGGTTCCCGCAAGGAAAAGAAAACCGCGCAAGGCACAAGATCTGGGAAACCAAGAAGGGCTGACTGGAAGCCGAGTTCTCGATTGTGCGAGGTAAGTTTATGATTAACGTATGATTAACGTAACAAAATGCTTGATTTTTCGACTTTCTCCTTACGCCAACAAAAGCGCAAACCTACACGCGTATATATCGCATGTCAATGGGGACCCACTCGCCGGGAGGCACATCATGGCGGAAGCGGCGCCCGCTGAGTCCGCTAGACCTAGCGGGCCGTAAGCCCCTCCCACCCGCCGAACTCTCCCAGTATAAAAGGCTCTGACTTGACCCACCCCCAGTGCCCTTCCCTCCTCCTCAAGAGCTACGCTCTAATTCTGCGTTACAGGGAGTTGTAAACGGCTTTCATTTTTTTACCTACACTGTAGTATTTTGTATACAAAGTCAGGAAGAAGGGGTGTGGACACCTACTGAATAGTGTGAACACTTACAAAATACAGTCGATGGTTAGAAAACACTAAAACAAAAAATTATTAACTAGTCGTTATTATTGACAAAATAAAATAATCGGAACGCCTTTCAGCTGAACAGCGCACGGCTGTTCACCACCACGTTGGTGCACCCCAAACCCAAATTTCACCCGATCACTTATCGAAAAGATGTGCCACGAAATGAGGAGTTTGGAAAATCTAATATTATCGCATATATTTCGCATTTACAGCCGGCAACGCCACGCCGACGTCCGCCACAGGTTATCCAGAGCTGGAAGACACTAGCGCGCCTTCAGGAATGACAAGGGACACCGAGTTTTCGGAGCCTACAGAACCAGAGCCAAGAGACCAGGGCGACAGACCAATGTGCGGATGGACCGAATGGATGGACGTCGACGACCCCATGGCATCTACGAGGGATATGGGAGACTTCGAATCCCCGGATGTCCTAAGGGTGATGAATCATTTTACTTTGCCCTGGGGCGTTATCACTTATTCAGGAAAAAAAATTGAGCGACCGAGAGACCCTCTTCAGTTTGTTATCGGCTTTCGAGGCCCTTCTTTAGACGACTATGTGTGAGAATTACTAAAGACTTCTCATTAAGACTGAAAACTTGGTACAGATTTGCATTGCTTATCACCAGGCAGGGCCGTACCCAGAAAAAAATTTCGGGGGGGGGGGGGGGTTTTCGGGGACAACGGCGGCCATTTTGTCTTATTTTCGCCTATGAATCATGTGCATCGGTGGCATATAATGAAGAGTTATAGCAAACCGAAGAACCGGTCCCGGTTTGGTACCCGGTAGCCGACCGGTGCCACTGCGCGTGCGCAGAGGTGGAGATTAAAATCGGCTGGCTGCAAGTGCACCGACCAGGGCCGTACCCAGAAAAAAATTTCGGGGGGGGTCAGAACCCCCTAATCCCCCCCCCCCTGGTTACGGCCCTGTCACCAGGAATAAAAATATGCTCATGTAGCACGTACCGGAGCTATAGTCACGGACATTATCCCCCTGTGGTTAATCAGGTTGCTGCATTAGCCGATAAGAGCGCCGAGGAACGACTCACAAAGCAAGAAGTGCGAGCAAAAAAAGCCCCCCCCCCCCCTCCCCGTTTCCTAAGTAGCTAGTTAATACACACTCGCGCACGTATCCTTTGCTGCATAGACCTTACCAATAATCGCCTTATGTGCGCTGCCATCCTTGTCTGCTGGGCTGTGGAACGCCTTCTGAGCATGCGCAGTTGCTCTGCTACGTGATATATCAGACGCTGCGCATGCGTCTACAGCTCGGTGGCTCAGCATTTTTAGCCCGGTTGATAAACGCTGGAAAGGTCTATAGATATGAAGTACTTGCTTCATACGTTCCCCGATTCGGAGCTCATACGTTCACACATTCGGAGCTCGTGTCGCAGAAAAGCCAGCGTCGGCATTGTGACAGAAAAATCCTGATTGGTCGATAGGGTCGTGACGTCAAAACCACATGACCTCACGCGGGAATTTCAAACAACCCACAATGCTCACGTGAAACGTGACGTCACGCGTGGATTGAAAGCTATCAGAAAATGACATGTAATGCGAATTAAAGGTCGCCGCATGTCTCAAATAATTCCACTTTCTAAAGTTTTTTTTTTTTTTTTCATGAAGGAAGAAAATGAAAAAAAATTTAGGCGGGATTTGAACCCATGACCCTTCGGTTGCGAGCCAGACAGGCTACAGACTTGGCCACGCAGGCACTTTTTTTTTTTTATAAGTCATTCCCGGTGAACAGCACACAAGATACACAAAGAGCTCAAAGATTTAGTCCCGGTTAACCTCCTGCAGTCCGAAAAACGTTCTTGCTCGCGCCCTCACGAGTCCCGTTGCCCGGCCGCAATCAGCCCCTCGCGGGCCAGAAAGCGTGGGAGCCCTAGTTAGCCCCGCTCCTGTCCCCTCCGTTGCCGGGCGCGCCAGTCCCTGAGTTGTTTTGCCTCCAGTCTATGTTTTATGTGCTGCCATTCCTTTCCTTCGTGGCATTCCTCTCCCGCGGCAATCGAGAGGAGCCACCTCAGCCTTGACGTGAAGTAGTCCCATGTCGGCCTATGGCGCCGGGGTGATACTCCACCATGGCAGTGCGCGCAAACCAAATGGACGGTAGACCCAGCAGGACAATTGCTGGGGCTATACGTCCGAATTGTCGGCACCGTCGAGGTGCAAACACTTAAAGGTTAGTCACTCAATTTTAATATCCTGCCCAAATTCCACCCTGAGCTTGTCCCAGAAGAGGTACGCGTTTGAGCACTCGACGAAGTCGTGTTGTATCGTCACACTCGCGCCACACAGGTCGCGACCAGGCTAGCAGCCACGGTGGCTTGGTCTTGGAACGAGCGAGGGTCTATATGCCTAGCTATCGCGTTCCACTCTTAAAGGCAAATCTTAAGCGTCCTCCTGTAGTTTTTCCCCGGTACCTTCGACAAGAATGAAAGGAGCGTGAACATGAAAAGTCATGTCCCCTGGTTTCTCAAGCCCTTGAGGTGACACTTTACATCGACCCTGGATGGGCGAGTGCTGTTACTGTACCTAGCTCTCCGATACCTTCGCAGTCAAGGCACGGTAGCTGCGTGCTCCCGAACCTCAAGGACATCGAGTGCCGTGTCAAGTTCACGCACGAAGACTGGAAACAAAGTGGGCAGAGTTCCCTGTCCTGCGACGTCCGCAACGGGTTCCGCTGCTACAACAAGTTTCAACTGAACTCGCGTTGTTTCGACTACGAAGTGCGCCTGCTGTGCGCCTGTTCGGAAAGTAAGTCCTTTCTCACTGACAAACTTTGGCATTGGCTATTTCTCAAATTGTTCAATGCGGGTAGAAACTAGGGGAGACGAGGCGATGACGGTTCGCGGGGACGGCAAAGCACCGAGGTCTGGATGGAATCATTAGTGGGTAGACCCAAAACTTGCCGCCTTTGTCTTTCTACCCACTCTTCGCGCGGGTTCGAACGCCGAACGAGGTGTTCGGCGTTCGAACGCGCGTTCAGCGTTCGACCAAAGGCAGCGGAACACACCCGCCAATATTATTTTTAAATAAAATCTTCGCCCTAGAAATAACCACTTTATTAGCGGGTAAGTACAGCGTGTCCCAGGGGAAAAAAAATACAGTGTTTTTCTTCACCGCAAAAAATGAACTACGAATCACCGAACACTAAGATTCCGCCCAAATGTTGCGCTATCTGTCCGGACCAGACGCTCAAATTTCAGAACTAACCGCTATCTTATTAAAAAATTATAAGTGATTTTTTTAAACTTTTAAGGGTAAAATGCGGCACCTTTAGATGGTGTCATCCATATCCATGAAGTTCTGCGCTTCATCGGCTGCCATTTACCCAGTGATTTTTTTTTTTTATCGCTTAAAACTTGTGATGTAGTATTAATGGACGAAGAGTGTGTTGGGCTGGTTGAGCATCTACTTGCGGTAATTCTTATCTACCTTTTGCAAAAAGAAAAAAAAAGTTAGGTTTATATGTATATATTATTTTTTTTCTGCAGGCGAGACTACGACGACTGCCAAGCCTCCGTCAACCATCGTACAGGAAGAGAAAACAGGTATAAATTGCCATCGCATGAAACTGATGAGCCACGTTACGATAAATGAAGTTGTTCGAGCTGTGCTAATATAGGTTTTACACTTTATGGTTTCAGTGAATACGGAGCCTGAGGGTACCACATCTCCGACCACATCAACAGGTACGCCCTGCTTTTTCTTTTCTTCAATTGATACGATAAACGTTGTGAAGAATTCAAAGGAAATGAGAGAGACGTTACAATTGTCATCAATCAAGGAGAATCAGGCTTCGCAGTTGACACTCCTGTTACAAGAGGAAATCAGCTAAGTGACCGTCAAACTGGAAAATCAAATCTGGAAGTCCTGAAAACGAATTGAATCGCTCGCAAATGACAATGACAAGAAAAGACACACATTCGACAAGGATTGGCGCTAACTTCAAACTGATTTTATTGCAATGCAATACATAAATATTATTGATTTAATGCAATATTACAAGTCTAGTTGCTTCATGCGGGGCCTGTAATAGTTCCCCTGTCCCACGCGCATTTTATTTGTGCCAAAATTCAATCGAGGTAAAAAGGTACTTTTTCTTAAAATTTCTGTTGGAAAACGGTATTTTACACTGGCACGTGCGTAATATAAATTCCGGTGAATCTGTAATGTCGACACGGAAATTGTTCAACAAATGGGAGAACAGAAAATGCTCCAAAGGCAGCAACAGTGTGAACATTTCTGAGTTAATAATAGTAGTACACCCGTAACGTGGATGCTGACGGCGACGCGCCTAATTTGAAATGACAGCTTCTACCCCCAGTCTGGGCTGTGCTGTTATTGTTGAAACTTGAGTGGTTGGCGCACGCCGAAGGAGATGATTGGCCAGAAATCGAAGTGGTATTAAACATTTAAAAAAAAAATCGCTTAATATTTTATTTTGTTTAATGTAAATATTGTTCCCTGAGATTTCTTTTCTTTACTTTTATACACTTACACGTGGCGCTGACGTCACGTCGCTGTGGTGGCGCTGCTATCGGCACGGCGCATGCGCCGTGCCCGTACCTTGTGCGGAAACTGCGCGCTTGCCCACACCTCGTCGCGGCTTGTTCGTAAACAGCGCGTTGGCCTACTGGCGACGTGCGCGACCGAAAGCGTCGCTGTGGTCGGCCTTCCACGATTGGCCGAACCCTGACTATGTCGTCAGGAAAGGAATTATCTTCGACGGAAATAAGAGGAATGAAAGAACTTTAATTTTGACGGTGTTGGCAGTGTTGCTTTGTGAGCGCTATGATTTCAGGCTTTCACGTGCTCATTACAAACACCATCGAACTTGTTGTTCACAAGGTAATGACGTCACGAAAGGTAACCAAACGAGGGCGCCACCAAAATATCTCGCCGCTAATAGGATGCAGTTTACGAAGCGAAACGAGGAGCACGTGAACCAAAAACACTCGCTGCAAAACCCAGGGATCCTGGGCCGGTTTGCTCATCTTGCGGACGCGGCCGCGGCTGCGGCCAAGAGGGATTTTTCTGTCACGTCACCAACTCCATGGGGACAAGGAAGTACCTAGCGTCCCTGCCTAATGGCGGAGAAATCCGTATCGCTTCAAGCACAAACGCCTATTTTCGCTCGCAGGAACTGACTGCAGGGACTTTCAACTGAAGTCCAATTGACCGCCCCTTTATACTGGTAAGGTTACGGCCAGGGAGGGTAAATATGAGCCAAAATAAAGAAAAAAAAACATGCGAGATAAAAGTGGAAGCAGTATATTTATATACCTCCGCCACTGCAGCGACGGCGAGTGAGTAGAGAACGCAAATCTTGCTAGTCTACAGTTTTTGATATTTTGGAACCCAGATCTGTCGGGGACTTTGTGTTTCGTGCGAGGGCATCCGTCGTGGTCTGGAGCCCATGCGTCGACAACTTGGGCAGCGCCGACCCCGTCCCTGCTGAGGTTCCGCGATGACCGGCAACGGCCGGTCGACGCAGCTGAACTCGCCATTCGCATCGCGGCTGCGGAGTCGCAGCCGAGCTCTCAATGCCGAAGAACAGCCGGCTTCTCAACTCGGTGCCCTCGCCGGGGCTGCGGATGCGACTCCTGCAGCTCGCGGGACGATGGAAAGCATGAAGCCCCAAGATACTCATGCACTAGACCACTCAGCCTCGAGTGGCGTCCTCGAGCCCGTGGAGACTGATCTCGAGACATCGAACAGCTTCGCGGAGCTCTCCGAGGACGCCCGGGACCCCGAGGCTGACCTGACAAGGCTCTGCAACAAAGGGGCTTCACCCGCGACTATCGCGGCACCCCTACATTGTGCGAAAACACACTCGGAACTTGGATGGGCGTACGTGTGTGGAACGAAGAAGAAGCTCAACAAGAAGCGGATCGGCGCTTCTCAGATTGACACGCGGCCGCCTGTTAGACGTCGAACGACGCCCATACCAGCCAACGAAATCAAGATCACCCTCAGACCCAACCAAGGACTAGCGCTCGGGCAGGTAGGAAGCATCGAGCTCGGAATAGCGATTATTACCGAGGTTGGAAAACCACATATCTGCGGAAAGAACGACTTCACTGTTTACATCAGATACGGCTCCAACATCGTCGTGATCAGCACGGCGAGAACGGACACCGCCGAGGAAATCAAGAAGATCACAAGACTCCGCTTACGTGGGAGGGTCCACGAGTTCAACACCCACGTCGTCATGGACGGTACCATAAAGGGAGTCATCCACGGAATATCGGCAGGCACCAAAGAAGAGGAGCTTATGGAGTTTCTCGACACCAGGAACGACAGTAACAGGATCGTTCAGGCGAGAATGATGGGAAGATCAAAGACAGCTCTGCTGACTTTCATTGGAGACAGACTACCCAAGGTAGTCTACGGCATGGGCACGATTATCTCGGTAAATCCGTATGTCCCCACGAGACAAGTGTGTTACAGCTGCATGAAACCGGGGCACAGGATCGACGTCTGTCCATTTCCAGACGTAAAAGCTTGTCAGAGGTGCGGCAAGAGGCAGCCTGAAGAAAACCACATGTGCGTCCCCAGATGCGTACTATGCGGGGGAGAACACGTCACCGGGGACAAAGAATGCAAGCAAAAGTACAAGGCGAGGTTCCAAGCAGGTAGCCACCAGCAAGGAATGAGTCAACGAAAGAAGGGAGAAGAGAGAAAGGAAAGGAAGTGGCAGCCGCCACCCGAGACACGACGCAATGAAGTCATCCGAAAGAAGTATACAGAAGAGGACTATCCGCAGCTACCAGCCAGCCCGTGGGCAGCAGCGGCAACGATGACGACGGCAACCATGGGAAAAGGCCCAACTGAAGAAACAAGGAGGCTACGGGCCCATCTTGGAAGGAAAGAAGCTGAGGTGGAGAAGATGAAGGATGAAATGGCCACCATGAGAAACAAAATCCAGCAACTCAGGAACGCGCTCAAGACGCAAACGGAAAGAAAAAACAGTGAGAAACCGGCATACCGAGCAAAACCGAAACCAAGAGGCGAAACACCGGTACCCAAGGTCCGAGTAACGAGGCGCAAGAGATGAAACAAGAAATGATAAAAGAACTGAAACAGGAGATACAAAAATGGATGACCGACATGTTCAAGAACCTTCAAATTGGAAGGGGGGCAGAAGAAAACCCACCCAACAAGAGGAGAAAAAACCCCTACAGCAAGGACGAATCAAACTATGAGAGCGACTCGAGCTCGGTTGTAGACATGGAAAAGACGCAACATGATTACGACTAAGCGCAAGGGAAAGATCAGAATACCACAGGCACCTACAATCATCTGGCAATGGAACTGTAGGGGACACAAACAGAAGCAAAGCAACTTCAACTTTCATATACAAAACCAAATCATCAGACCAAATATTATTGCACTTCAAGAGGTCAGCGGAGTACCTAAGATCTCGGGGTACACCACCTTGGTCAGCCTAAAAAATAAGCCAAGAACGGCGACTCTGATAAGCAAGAACCTCACAGCCATAGAGCACAAGCTCAAGGAGCAAGAGGTAGAACATGTTCTACTCGAAATCATACCCAAAAAAAAGAAAGACAAGAGTCTATTCGTGTTAAACGTATACAGCCCGCCGAGATACGTCGTCCAGGACTTCAGGTCCCTGTTCCGAGAAGCGAGCAAGATCGTTGGAGGCAACGCACTCGTATTGGTCGGCGACTTTAACGCGAGACACACGAGCTGGGGGTACCAAGAGCACTCGAAGAAAGGAAAGCAACTGGCAGCAGCGATCGACAACGAAAGACTGGAGATCATCAACGACCTACTCAGACCCACACGCACTGGGAACAGCATCAACAGAGACACTAACCCAGACCTCACTATGATAAAAAATCTGGACCAGCACAAGGTTACCTGGAAGAATACCGAGGAAACGATCGGCAGCGACCACGCAATCATAGAGATAAGTGTGGAAGCGAGCACTAACAGACGCAAGATTGGCGCCTCGAAAATGACCAACTGGAACAAGTTCAGACACCTCGGACCGGAAGGAGGTGTTGAGGACCTGGAGACGTGGGTGGCGGAGCTACAAGCCACCAAAGCGCACTGCACCAAGGAGATTAGCCTAACCGAGGCCATACCGGGGGTGGATACGCACCTTCTTGGGCTGTGGGAAAAGAGAAAGGGAATAGTCAAAAGGTGGAAGAAACAAAAGCACAACAGAAAGCTCAGGCTCCGCATCTCGGTGCTAAACATACAGACCGAAGAATACGCCACGCAATTAGCCCAGCAGAACTGGGACCAGAAATGCGACTCCCTCCAGGGAACTTTGGGACTTGCTCAGACGTGGAGACTACTACACCACCTGGTATCCCCAGCGCAAACCAAGTCAGAAGGATGCAAAACGACCCTAAAGATCGTCCACTCCTACAAGGGAACTGACGAGGATCTACTGAAACAGATCAAAAAGAAATATATTGGTGAGCCTGTACCACCACAAGACGAGGCGAGATGTATACGGTACACGGGAAGAGCCAACGAGAAGCTGGATCGGGAGTTCGAGGAGGCCGAAATGATCGCAGCTGTACAAGACGCAAAGAATACTACCCCGGGAAGAGACAAAGTCACCAATGCCATGCTCAAGAACCTGGGCTGCGAGCAGCAAACGAACTTAACCAACTTCTACAACAAAAACTGGAACCAGGGAACCCTACCCGGA